TTCTAGGAGATTGTTCGGTTGCATGGCATTCCCAAAACCATCACATCTGACCGAGACACAAAGTTTTTAGCTCGCTTTTTAACAACTTTGTGGAAATGATTTAACACTCAACTTCGCTACAGCAGTACCGCTCACACCCAAACTGATGGTCAAACTGAAGTGGTGAACCAGACTCTTGGTAATCTCCTCAGGTGCATTCGCAATGAAAAGAAGAAGATGTGGGACCACGCTCTTGCCCAAACAGAATTTGCATACAACAGTTCTATCCACCAAGTTGTCCTCTTTTGCGATTGTCTACCGAAAGGTAGCAACCCATACTCTTGATCTTCTTTCCCTTCCAACAGGTATGGAGAAGAGTATTGCAGCGGATAACTTGGCTATCGGGCACGTGGGGGTATTCAAGTAAGTAGCAATTCATCATTGTTGCCAATGCAAAATATAAAGCTGCAGTTGATAAACACCGGCGTTATAAATCTTTCGATGTGGGTGATTGAGTCATGGTTTATCTTCTCAAGGAGCGTGGCGGAGGACAGAAGAAGTTTGATTCCAAAAAGATTGGTCTATTTTAGGTACTTAAGAAGATTAATGATAATGCTTATGTGCTTAACTGCCCGAAGACTTCAAGATTTCAAGAACTTTCAATGTTGCTGATTTATTCCCTTTCTATCCCGATGATGATAACTCGAGGTCGAGTTCTTTTGAAGTGGAGGGGATTGATTCATCAGAGTTTCAAGTGAAGTAATATAGAATAAGAGGAATAAAGGAATATAAAGAGCAATTTTGTCCATTAATAAAATTTCCTTTGTTAATAACTTATATTGCTCTATGGGGCTTCATTTGTTTGATCACCGTCTTCCTGGTTTGTTTCATTGGCTTTCACATGATGTTGTTGGAATAGCTCACATCAGGTCCTGCTATTAAGGCTTTTGCCTTCTTCTTTTTACCGAAAAAGAAAAATGATTATAGAATACAATTGAATTCTAAATTTAGAATAATTTTAAAACTTTCATGATTGTAGAATAACTTTCTTGTTATGGAGGCAGAGGGCGATATATCTCCTAAAATTGAAAAACACATCACAAATCAGATATCGTATAAATGAATTATGTTAAGAATTTTACCTAAAAATTGAAAAAACCAACATCATCAATACAAGATTATCGTAAATAAGGATGGAGGGCGATATATCTCCTAAAATTGAAAAACACATCACAAATCAGATATCGTATAAATGAATTATGTTAAGAATTTTAAAATTATCAATGATGATAATGTGCAATTAACAACCCCCAATTGTAGCCCGGCCATGCTGCTGTGATAAAAGACAATCAGATGCTTTCGAACAATCAGAATCCACAATTTTATAAGCATGAACCCGGACTGCAGGATTAGATGGTGGCATAGAAGGCGCTGTATTCTACATTCAAAAACATATGAAATAGATATACAAATAAAACGATAAATCAACGAAAATAACAACACATTGACAAAGCTTAGTTCAAAGTAATAGAGTGCACAAAACAACAGCTTGAATCAGTAATTCCGTGGGATCAAAGAGGAATCAAGAACAGAATGAGGAAAATAATTTCAGCATATTAAAGAGTAAATGCTTCAGTAAGAAAAGTCTATAGGGTCATTCATTAAGCCAGGACCATGTGAATTATATATTAGTGTTTAAGTTAAATAGCGGTAGCGGTTGCATAAACACTAACATACCACTGAAAATGATAGTACAACATCTATGCCACTGAACTGTAATAATTTGTCAAGCATACTACGTATATTTTAAAGCAGCAGTCATGGGATTGTATAAATACATGGATGCAAAATGACAAACTCCAAAAAGGAAATACAATACAAAGAGGAATAATTCTCCAAAATTTCAGAGAAAATTTATGTTGGATTTGATAGCAAATTTAGGGTTATGAAATTTACTGTAAAAGCAAAATTTCAGAGAAAATTTATGTTGGATTTGATAGCAAATTTAGGGTTATGAAATTTACTGTAAAAGGCCATTGCATTTTTTGTATTCTAACACACCTGTCTCCCCATTGTTAAACAGATATTGGACATGAGCCAAAGCCAATAATTGCTAGCTTAAGTAATCAGAGTTATGAAATTTTACAAAACCTAACAAGTCAACAAAGTATGATAGAATTGGCAATAATTAGGTGAAGCTTTCTAGTATTATTTTGCTAATAAGATCATTATCTGGCATTCACGATAATGAATTTCCTTTCAAATCCCAATGAAGCAACAAATTTATCGAGAGAAAGAAGAGACTTCAGAACTGAATATGTGAACTTAAATTTCTTATCAATATTTCTAATGTATTACCTATTGTTTTACTCATGGGAAAGCAATAAAAGAAATGCCAAGCCCCCCAAATATAAATTTTATAATTAACTATCTGCAATTAACAAAGCAAAACTGCATGAATTCTTACATGCCCATTGGGTTCCCAAAGTGGACATAAAATATCCAGAAATTTCAAAAATAATAATCATTCGGTTATCCGTTTTTTATTATTTCAGAAATTCTAAAGTAAAGGTTATCTGTATCCTAACAATGAACTCTGATAGTAATATTAACAAAAAAAGAAAAAAATTATATTGATTACCATATTTCTACCAATCTCAACAGCAAATGATACAGATTACCATATTTCTACCAATCTCAACAGCAAATGATACAAATTGAAAAATTTAACTGAATTCATCTTATTGAATAAGAAGATGGAAAGAGCGACAGATACAAGAGAAGAACTAAAAACTGAGGAAGATTACAATACTGAAAAGGAGAAGAAGAAATCTACAGAAACTTAACCACCCAAGATGCTTTATACAGTTCTTTATACATCACCCAATGACATAATCAAAATTTAGCTCTTTAAAATCTGTTACAACTCATCTTTCTCTCTCTTCATTCTCTGTAACAGATTTGCAAAACTCTTCCAACTGTTTTCGTTATCAGCAATGAAGAAGGTATTTACTGATATGTTTTGTCACCTGCATTCATAGCTGTGCGGACGCCGTTTTTCTTCTTTTAATTTCTTTCTTTCTTTTATAATGAAATGGTCGTCAATGGCTAATTACTAGTCGTTTACTAATAACGGCTTCCTCTTCAAACATCACAGCATCCTTCAACCTCTGTTTACCCCCCCGCAAGCTGGGCCATGGATGTCAGACATGGCCCAGTTTTGACATGAGAAAATTAAAAGCGAGGAAAAGCGGGAAAGGGGATTTGGTATTACAAGTTCAGCAAGTACAGCTCTTTGTAGAAATAGGCATAAGATGGAACAAGGCCAGAAGTTAAAACTTCTTTCTCGAATAAAAATGGCAATCTATTTCTCTATATGCTTCGATCCGCTCATTGAAACAAGGCCAGAATTAACTTTTTCTCGAATAAAATGGCAATCTATCTCTATATGCTTCGATCGCTCATGAAAGGCAGGGTTAGCTGTGAGATAAATTGCTGATTGATTATCACAAAAGAGACTGATGGGTGCAGATAAATTATGACTGTAACAGCAAGAGCTCGATACTCTGCTTCTGAAGAGGATCTGGACACAGTCACCTGCTTCTTCGATCGCCAGCTGATCAAGGAATCTCCCAGGTAAATTCCATAACCAGTTATGGATCGCCTTGTATCAAGGCAACCTGCCCAATCAGAGTCGCTAAAGGCAGTGAGCTTTGGTGCTGAACTAGCTTTATAGAATAAGCCATTACCAGGACTAGATTTAACATATCTGAGAACCTTGAGTAAAGCCTGATAATGAGATGTTCTTGGTGCAGATAGAAATTGGCTCAAGGTATTGACAGCATAGGTGATGTCTGGCCTTGTGGTAGTGAGATATATTGACAGCATAAGTGATGTCTGGCCTTGTGGTAGTGAGATATAAGAGTTGCCCCACTAGTTTTCTGTAACCAGTTACATCACTCAACAAGTCACCATCATCTTTGGACAGTTTGACATTATAATCCATAGAAGAGGAGGAAGGCTTAACACCTAAAACTCCATACTCAGTCAGGAGCTCTAGTGCATACTTTCTCTGACATATATGCAATCCTGCTTTGACCTAGCAATTTCCAATCCAAGAAAGTACTGTAGCTTACCAAGATCTTTTATCTTGAATTTGGCATCCAGAGAAGCTTTGACAAAGTTAATCTCTGAAGAATCATTGCCTGCTAGAACAATATCATCAACATAAATCAATAAGGTAGTAAATTGTTCCCCTTTTGATTTAGTGAATAGAGAGTGATCTGATTGTGATTGTTGATAGCCAATAGCAACAAGAAAATCCGTTAACTTGTGAAACCATTGTCTACTAGCTTGTTTCAAGCCATATAAACTCTTCTGCAACTTACAAACTGAACCAACAGGAACCTGCAACCCTGAAGGAGCCTCCATATAAATTTCTTCATGTAAATCCCCATGAAGAAAAGCATTGTTTACATCAAGCTGCTCCAAAAACCACTCCTTCATTGTAGCTAAAGGTAAGAGAAGTCTGAACTGTTTACCAATCAGTCGCAAATTGGTATCCATATTGCGACCGACTTTTGTCGGTCGCAAAAATCGGTCGCAATTTGAAGTTTTTTTTGTAGTGTCTCTACAGAACCATCTAACTTCAATTTTGTTTTATACACCCATTTACAACCAATAGGCACCCTATTTGGTGGAAGAGGAACCACAATCCAGGTATTATTTAAAGCCAAAGCTTCAAGCTCCTTATCCATAGCTTCCCTCCATATAAGATGTTTAACATCTTGTGCATAGGTTTTTGGTTCTTGAAGACAAGAAACATTTAAAATAAAATGTTTATAGGAAGGAGACAACTGAGAATATGTAAGCACTTGGGAAATAGAATGCTGCGTAGAAGCAATAGGCATAGTTTGATTATGATAGGTCAGATTACAATGGTAATCCTGCAGGTATTGAGGAGCTCTCCTTCCTTGTCCTTGTGGATCTTCTTGAGCCATTATCTTGCATAGAAGCATCAACTACATCTGCTGCAGTGACTGCATCTGCTCTGCTGCAGTGACTGCATCTGCTGCAGGCAACATAGGAACACAGTCTGCATCTACATATGTGTCATTAACTTGAGGCAATAATGGTTGAAACTGTTTTTCTGAATAAGGAAAAATAGTTTCATAGAATATGACATTCCTTGAAACCAGTAATCCTCTAGTATGCAAATTCGGCATTAAATACCCTTTGGTACCCTCTTTGTAGCCTAAAAACACACATTTTTGAGCTCTTGGTTCCAACTTAGTTCTCCCAGCGTGCAAAGTATTGGCATAACACAAGCTCCCAAAAACCTTTAAGGTTGAAATATCTGGTAGGCTATGATAAAGTTTTTCATACGGAGAGCATTCCTGCAATAGTGGAGTTGGAATTCTATTAATGAGATAAGTGGCATGCAGTACAGCAAAATTCCAAAAAATCTTTGGCAAATTCCAAAAAATCTTTGGCAAATTAGCTTGAAATAGAAGACTTCTAGTGACATTGAGTGTATGCTGATGCTTTCTTTCTACAATTGTATTTTGCTCTGGGGTTTCTGGATAAGTAGTTTGATGTAATATACCCTCTACTGCATAATAATCTTTCATCAAGAATTATGCACCATTATCAGATCTGATGCTTTTAACTCTTTTGTCAAACTGTGTTGCTACCATCTTAACAAATTGTTTGACTAAAGGCCTAACTTCATTCTTCTCTTTTAACAGGTAGACCCACAAGAATCATCAACTATTAGTCAAGAATATCTGGCCGCTGTCATGGAACAGTGCCACTGGGACCCAGATATCACATGTGGTAACAAATCAAAGGGATTGAGACATAGTTTACACTAACAGAAAAGAAAGTTTCTCTGCTTTGCCATATGGCATATCACAAGGTTAATTTCAGTCTTATCATATTGAATTTCTAGATGTTTGGTTACATAAACTGGATAATCTGGTCTTTTGGAACTGACCAATCTAAAATGCCCAACTTATTATTCTTACACTTGAGTACTAAACAATGTAGTACAGCGCCAGCACTGCTTTTATTTTGTCTAAATCAGTAAAACTTCCTTAGGATCTTCATTATTGCAGCAAACTTGTATAGTCCTGGAACACTATTAGCTTATACATATTCATACGCAACTTGTATAGTCCATGGAACACTTTAGCTATACCAATCATCTTCCAGGTCTTGAAATCCTGGATTAGGCATAAATCATTATAGAGAAAGAGTGAACAATGTAGTTGAGCAATAAGGCTTTTAACTGAGACAAGATTGAAAGCAAATCCAGGTATATACAGCACATCTTTAAGGGAAAATACTTCTGAAAAAACAACAGTGCCAGAAAAATGAGCTAATAGGTATTCTCCATTTGGCAGCTTTACTTTTATTGGTGAAATTCTTTTAAAAGTTGTAAACATATCAAGAGACTTGCATATATGGTCTGTAGCTCCACTGTCCAAAATCCACACAGAATTAGATACAGATTTTAATATACCTGTTTTCTGTGTTTGAGTAGATATGGAAATTGCTGATTGTTGATCATTGGTTGCTATGATGCTGTTGACTGCATGCTCTCTATTGATTGTATGTGCTGTGCCATCTGCTGAATCTTGATTAATGAGTGTCATAATCTTGTTATATTGATCTGGTGTAAAAGAAATAGTTGCTTCAGATGGTTGTTGTTGAGTTGCACTCCTTGAACAGTTTGTGAAGTTATTCTCCACAGCTTGAATAGGAAACACATTAGAGTTAGGATCATAAAATTCACTTGCATTTTGATAATAAGAAGGATTCTGTTGATCTCCATAAACTGCATTGACTGCTGCATTTGCTGCATTTGCAATCACATTTGATCTCCCTGAATTGTAATTGTTTCTTGGCTTGAATCCTGGAGGATAGCCAATTCTCTTGTAGCAACTGTCTATAGTATGATTAGTTCCATTGCAGAAAGTGCATTTTCTTGTTGTATTAATTTGTGCAGGAAACCTTTGTCCTCTGGATGTCTACTGTGGAAAACTTTTAGCACCAAAACTTGGTCTATAAGACTTGTTGAGCATAATCTTTGACTCAGATTGTGAACTATAATTAATCTGCCTTTCTTGCTGTATTGCCATCGAGAAAACTTTAGTTAAATCAGGAAGAGGATCCATCATTAACACATTAGATTTAACAGACTCAAATCTCTCATTTAAGCCTCCTAAGAATCTTATGACTTGTTCATTCTCAAAGTTTCTTCTGTATTGTGTAACTGCTCCACAATTACATGCATTGATACACGTACATGCAAGTATTGGTCTAAGAACCAACAGCTCATCCCATAGGATCTTAAGCTGTGTGTAAAAATCATTCATAGTGGAATCTCCTTGCTTAAGACTTGCAATTTCATCTAACAAATAAGACTTGCAATTTCATCTAACAAATTAGCTATTCTGTAATTATTCCCTTGAGAAAATCTGATTTGTAAATCTCTCCATACTTCTGAAGCATTGTCTAACCACAAGATACTTTGTGCAATGTTTGGAGACACAGCCTTCTGGATCCAAGAAATCACCATTGTATTGCATCTGCTCCAGATATTATACAATTCACTATTTTATACATTTCACTTATTCTGATCAAACTGGTGCATTGTATCGGCTCCAGTAAAAACAAAACCTAGCTTATTTTTGGAGGCTAGCGCTATTTTCATTGCTCTGGCCCAAGAATGATAGTTGTAATCATTCAATGGAACTGAAACAAGAACTAAAGTAGGTGTTTCATTTGGATGCAGATAGAAAGGATTAGAAGGATTCGTCAAACAGTCATTTTGATTTATAGCCATTTTAACAAAATTGAAGAAAGAAAGTAAGAATGATAGAATCAAAGATTAAGAATGAGATAGAAGAACTAACAACTGATCAAGGAGATCAAGGAAAACAGCAATTGATTGAAAGAAAGAGAGGAAAACTTCCGAATCAATCAGTAATAGTTGCAGAAAAAAACAGCAAATCAAAAAAGAAACTGAATAAACCTGCGCAGCATTGCTCTGATACCATGAAGAAACTTGACTGAATACATTTTATTCAATAAAGTGATGAAGAGAACGACAGTTACAAGAGAAGAAGTAAAACAGAGCAAGATTACAATACTGAATAGAGAAGAATTCACCAAAAACTTACATAGCACAAGATGCTCTATACTATTATTTATACTCCTTTACGGACTCCAATGACACATAAAATTTAGCTCTTAAAAACAATCAAATTTAGCTCTAAAATCAAATTTTTTCAAAATATGTTTTTACAACTCATCTTCTCTCCTTCATTCTCTGTAACAGATTGCAACTGCCTTCAACTGTTTTCGTTTATCAGCAAGAAGAAGGTATCTGCATATGTTTTGTTTCACCTGCATTCATTAGCTTGCGACGCCGTTTTTCTTCTTTTTAATTTTTTTCTTTCTTTTATAAGAAACAGGTGGTCAAGAAGGTATACTGCATATGTTTTGTCACCTGCATTCATTAGCTGTGCGACGCCGTTTTTCTTCTTTTAATTTCTTTCTTTCTTTTATAATGAAACGGTGTCGTTGGCTAATACTAGCCGTTACTAATAACGGCTTCCTTCTTCAAAACATCAGCATCTTCAACCTCTGTTACAAATGGGCACTAATCTTCTCCACAATCCATTCTCTTTAGCCCATCAAGCACACTGCTGACATTGATTTTACTAGCGACACACTCTTCCTCCTATAGAAGCTTCAACGAAACCAATATTGACAATGTTCTTAATCAATAACTGACATGATAAAGCCACATCTCCGTCTCACCCCATCATCCTCTCCAGTCATTATGTTATGATTCGCTTCGGCACAACAAATAAATTGAATTGCTTCTCTACCTGACATCTTATGGGCCACTTAATAATTCTATTCCAATCTACATTTTTTGTAATGATAATATAAAAGGTTACCCACCACAAAAAAATGCAGTTTTGGGACCGCCCCGTGTCGATCTCAATATTGCAATGATGTTGTGACCATTTGCGATGAATGTTGAAGTAACAGAGATTTAATATTTAACGACGGATTTGCGATTAATCTCCGACAACTTTTGTGATGGATTTGCAACCAACTACATATCTGTCGCTAATTGTAGCGCTAATAACTCCCGCCAATTTGGTTTTTATTTTACGACTCCATTGTGATGAATAAATGACTGATTTTGCAACGGATGTGCAATTGTGTCACAGTCCATCGCTAAATTACACACTACAGTTTAGTGTCAAATTTTACGACGGATGTGAATGCTATTTTGTGATGTGGCTTTACATATGGTTTTTATTTCTTCTTCTTAGCTGAATATTATTGTTGTTGTGATGTTTTAGAGCATGTCCATGTGTTGGCGATTTAAATTTTATTTTTCGAGATTTTTCTTTAATTTATCTTTCTGTGTTTTTGTTGTTTGATGCTATGCTTTATTTAACCTAATAGTTTTAGTGAATATAATTATTTTTGGGTTTATACTTATTTGTATATGTCCAATGTGTTAGTCAGAATGCTTAGATTTAGAATATTGAAGAAAATGAGAGAGTAATATGTGCATTTGTTTACTTTTTCATTTGTGTGAGAGAGAGAGGATAAGTAGAATTAATTAAATTGAAAAAAGATTCCTTTTTCATTTATTGAAAATTGAATAGAGAAGGAAAATGAAAAATAACAAGCTTAGCATTTGCAATTTTTTTCGGATTTATTGTTCATGTTACTCAAAAACTAAAACAAATGATTAGTTCTCTGGTTTCCCAAATGGTAACTACTTTTTAATAATGAGATTTGCTAAAATAAAAAAAGGATTCTTTTTTTTTATTTATTGAAAATTGAATAGAGAAGAAGGAAAAAAAATAAAAAGCTTAGCATGTGCCTTGCGAATGCTTATTTTTTCAGATTTAATGTTCGTGTTACTTAAAACTAAAAGGTATGAGTTAGTTGTCTGGATTCCCAAATGGTAACTACTTTTCAATGATGAGATACAAAAAACCCAAAGGCAAATCTTGTGATGGACTGCTATCACTACCCGAAGAATCTACACACATTTCAACTAAAAATATGTATTAGCAATGTCAATATCAGCTAAGCAAGAAAAATAACTTTTATATATAGATATCATACACCAATTTAATGAATGAAATTATAAGATATATAGGTACAAGTGAAATAAGCTTAGAAAGTGTTGCAGTATCTTATCTTGATATGAATATGGTTATAGGTCTATAGGATAAGGATTCATGGAGAGTATTTAAGGGTTGGTTCAGATCAATGAAGCCCCTTAATAGTTGCGGGTTTCTGCCAAAGGCATCACATAACCTTCATGACTCATGAGTAATGACATGAACCAAATATGCAATTTGGAATCAATGGATAGTGGGACCTATAAAACTAAAACCTAAAAAAATAATCGAGATAAGGATGAGTGTCTCAACTCGATGTGTAGTTTTAGATAACCCTCTCACCTATACAATCACACAAATGCATACATAAACTAATCTAGTCATTCGACTAATTATATGAACATGCAATCATTCACACAAATGACATAATAACAACAATCACAAACATTAACATATTCACTTAATCACATCAAGTGAAGATTGGTTTGTGGCATCACCAAAATCCTTGACAAGTAATCCTTACACATGGCCCATCCTCTCAACACATGTGCACTGGGGAGCCGATCCCCTTTGCATGGCCTACCAGTTTCAACCTCACTTGACCAGCTCTCTCATTATTTTCATACTCTATTTTCTTTTCTATACCAATAGGTCACCCTGTGGTTTTCTATGTCATCCATATTATATTTCGTCAGATGCATGCAAGGGTGTGAATCTCCCATATATGACCTACAGTATCATAGACCACCCTCACAAACTCAGTGCCACTTCATTCTAATTTCACACAAATAAAGCATACGTGAAGCACACCACAAGTAATCAAAAAAATTCTAATTTCAGCAAACAAATAAAGCATACGTGAAGCACCACCCCACAAGTAATCAAAAAACAAAAAAAAAAAAACATATATATATATATATATATTATATATATATTATATATATATTCAATAGCATTGATAGCAACAAAACATGACTATAATTTACCATTCATTTTTATTAAATTTAGTTGCATTTTAGTAATAATTTGGAATAAAATCCCATTTTGCATTCTTTTCTCTCTTTGATTCACTCACCATTTTGGTAACATCAAATGCTTCGATTTGAGCAAAAATAAACCAATCTATAGTCCAATTGATGCTCTCGTCAACTCAAGAAGACTCTTAAAGCCAATAATTTTTGAAGCCCAAACATGCCCAAACCGGAAGAGACCAAGTATTTCTGTTACTTGGTGACTAACTAAGCACACCACAACTATCACAATTGAGTTACTTAGTGACTAAGTATTTCTGATATTGTCCACACATTTTTATTGTCCAATCCCTTGGAGTTACGCATGTAAATGTTTATTTAAGACCTTCTCAAATGTCAGCAACCTCAAACCCCTCTTTCTGGCTCACATTTTTGCCCGCAGCAATGTCAAAAGAAAAGAAGAAGAGCAACAAACAACTCACCTCACCCAACCACAACCCAAATCTATCGTCAGATCTACCCCAACAACTTCTCTATCAACTAGAAAGAAAACCCTCATTAATGCAAGAAATTTATTCTAAGGGAGCAACAAAGTCATGGATAACAGAACCAGGCAAGTGCAGTAAATCATCAAATGCAACCCTACCATGGCTTGAAGTCTCTACTGATAATGAAAATAGCCAAAACCGACCTCACACCTTCAATATATCGTTTAGAAGCGGATCCTATTCGTATCGGAGTCCACAGTGTAGCCCTGTAATAGAAGACTACCATTTTCTTGGATGTTCTTATGGTTTATTAATCTCTAAAGGAGATTTAGATTATAAATTATGGGATCCAATTGATAATGGATGGTGGCATCTTCCTTTATGGGATAATAGAATTCCATTTCTATGCACTGCTTTATCTTCTATGCCGATGATGGAAAATAAAAAGAATAAAAGTACTTTGATTGTATTAACAGTATTTCTAATCAAGGTTTTGATTATTTTAGAATATGGGAAGGTGGAGATTGGATTAAATTGATAATGGATGGTGGCATCTTCCTTTATGGGATAATAGAATTCCATTTCTATGCACTGCTTTATCTTCTATGCCGATGATGGAAAATAAAAAGAATAAAAGTACTTTGATTGTATTAACAGTATTTCTAATCAAGGTTTTGATTATTTTAGAATATGGGAAGGTGGAGATTGGATTAAATAAGATAGCAATATTGTGGATCCAAATAATTAGAAAGGTCGTCTTTTAAAATTTAGCAATGGGATTTGGTTTAAAGAAAAATTTTATGCTTTGAGTTTGCAGGGAACTCGTGCAGTTATTGAAGAAGTTGATTGCGATCTTAAAATTACTGCTGTTGGGAAGAAAAGAGCTGCTCCCTCTGTTTCGTGTATGCATTTTAAAGAATGCTTGGTTGAATCGGAAGGGAAGATTTTGCTTGTTTTTCTTATTTCTAAAAATTCTATCAAAACTGTGGATTTTGTGGAAGCTTACGAGCTTAATACTGATAAATTGGTTTGGTTCAAGAAGGAGAACATTGAGAATAAGACGTTGTTCGTTGGTGCTAATTGTTGTATGTTTATTTTAGTGATAGTTATTATGGTGATGGTTGGTGGGTATATGAGATGGAAACAGGTTCTGTCTCTCGTCGTAGCATCTCCAATCCAGATAAGTACCAGAATTTGGTTGAATAATTGAACAATTTCTATGCTAAAAATATCCTCTGATTATCTGATTTGTGCTGTATTTCTAGACCATATTTTTGCCACCAACTATGTGTTTGTTAAGATGCTTCAAAGAAGTATATGTGTTGTTGTTTATCAAAAACTTGAAGTGGTGTAATTTCCTCTTATGTGTTTGACAAAAACTGTTTGATATATTGAATTTCTAGGTTGTTTTCCAGATTTTGATAGACAGATTCGAATGGCAAAGATATTGATGTAATTTTTGCAAATTCTGAGCTGCTTTTTCCTTGTTCTGCTGGCTAACAATCATTATGCATATTAGATGCCCAGGACCTCTATGTTTCAAGAAATGAGTTCATGAGCTCGAATTGCCTTGCCTTCCTTTTCTTTTTGGTATGAACTACATTTCTGGCATCCTGTTTGATATATTAAATTAGTAACCCAGCATGGACTTTTGGAGAGTTTGAGGGTGTAGGTAAACATGTTGCCCGAGTGGTCAAATAAACTTTCTTTTTGTCATTATGGCCAATTTCAGAGGCTGTAAGTTAGTCTTATTAGTCTTTTCATCCATTCCTAATGTAAATGACAAATTATTTTATACTGTGATTTTGAATTAATAAAAAAAAGTATTTTCATTGGTACTGGTAATGTGAAAAATAAATAATGTTTTAATAATAATAATATAATTACTTTAATATTAATAATAGATTTAATATAAAATATAAAATTAATATAAAAGACCTAAACCCATCTCACATCATGCAACCTAAAACTGTGGCCAGATCTTCCACAACTTATGAACCAAATAGAGAGACAATTAATTCAGCAAATATTCCCAAAAGGTATAACAGACTCATGGAGAATAGACCCAAGCAAGTGCAATTCCAATATTTCACCATAGCTATGGCTTCAACTTTTCATTGAAGACAACAAAAGAGACGATAATAACCAACCTCAAACATTCAATATCAGATTCAAAAAGGGTTGTCTTTATAATATTTTAAGAGATCCATCTCCATCTAAAAAATTCCATTTTGTTGGTTGCTCTAATGGCGGCATAATGATATGCAAAGTAGTTTCAATTCCGTGTTACAAAATTCCATTAGAAAGAGTGTGAAAGAGAGGAAGACATGAGACATATATATATATAATGAAAAGTATAAGAAAAGAGGTTTGTATGGACATTGTTGGATTTGTAAGCACAATTTTTTCTTCTTCACCTATTAACTAAGGGAACAGAAAAATAAAAGTATGACAATGGCTTTGACAAGTATTACTCATCCTACTTTCTATTTCTAAAAATATATTGGAGACTTTTTTTTTTTTTTTTTTTTTTTATATATGGCAGACTTTTTTTTTTTTTTTTTTTTTTGTCTAGGTTAAAAAAAATACTGCGTGTTGGAATAAAAGTCCATTAATTTTTTTTTTTTTTTTTTTTTTGTCTATGGTAAAAAATACAGGCGTTTGAATAAAATCATTAATTTTATTGATTTGATTTATAAGATTGATTATAGACAGAATATAAGTAAGTTTTTCCATAATCCAAAAAGCGCTAAAGAATGTCTGGTACCAAGTAAGAAAGCATTTACTAATGGTAGTTGGTACATGCAAATTAAAAGGTCGGTTGACCATCTCTAAGTGTTCTAAATATTTGCGTTGCTGCTATATATTGATGTCTTTTCATGGAATAAAAATTTCAATAACTTCTAAAGTGAAAATCTACTAAAATTTAATAAAGAAAATAGAAGAGAAGAAAGTTAATCGTTTCTGTCATGTTTACAACGAGAGCAGGTCATGCTATTTATAGATACAGCAGTAACAAAATACAACTTAGAAAATCACTAGGATCATGTAAAGATAAAAGCAAATCACAAATTCAAAGTACAGATATATTCAAAACAAATATTAGTTGGGATATATCTGAAAACATATCTCACGTATCTGAAAACATATCTCACGCGCTATTACGCCCCCTCAAGTTGGAGCATGAAGGTCTCGAATGCCCAACTTGGAAAGTAAGAACTGAAATTGTCGAGCACCCAAAGCTTTGGTAAACACATCTGCAAGTTGATTCTTTGTTGAAATGTGGTGGCTAATGAGTAAACCCTTTTGAATGCATTCACGAACAAAATGACAATCCACTTCGATGTGCTTACGATGTGCTTAGTGTTCGTTTGCATGATTTAAACAGGATTATGGCAAGTTGTGACAAGCAGCCTGGACGGTTTATTCACAATAATTGGAGGCTGGGTTCAGAATGTGAAACATGTAATCAAGCAAGCAACTTACGTAACCAAAACTATCTCCAAAATAATTGGACTGGTTCAGAATGTGAAACATGTAAATCAACAAGCAACTTACGTAACCAAACTATCTCATAAGCAGCTGCTGCCATAGAACCGTATTCTGCCTCTGCAAATGATCAAGACACGGTAACTTGTTTCTTGCTTTTCCATGCTATAGGAGAATTGCCAAGAAAAACAAAAAAAATCGGTAAGAGAACGATGAGTGAGGGGACAACTAGCCCAATCCGAGTCACAAAACACTTTGAGTGATAAGGGGCTTGACGAAGAGAGAAAAATTCCTTGACCAGGTGCAAGTTTTAAATACCTCAAAACACGAATAGCTGCAAGCCAATGATTTTGCCGTGGTTTATGCATAAATTGAGAAAGCATGTGCACTGAATAACAAATATCAGGCCGAGTAATAGTGAGATAAATTAATCGTCCAATCAACCTTCGATAAGATTCAAGATCATCTAGAGGGGACTTTCATCCAAAGGTAATCGGTGATGTTCCTCCATTGGAAATGTTATTGGTTTAGACGCCGACATGCTTGTGTCTTATAAAAGGTCCAATGTGTATTTCCGTTGGGAAAGAACTATTCCTTCTGAACTGCGAGCAACCTCCAGCCCAAGAAAATACTTGAGAGGGCCTATATCCTTGATAGGAAACCATGAAGCTAAGTAACTCTTTCAATTTGTTAACTTAGAACTGTCATTGGTTGCAACAACAACATCATCTACATACACAAGTATAGCAACAAAAGAAGAACCTTGTTGGTATGTAAATAATGAAGTGTCTGCTTTAGACTGTATAAATCCAAAACGTAAAAGAGCAGTAGAGAATTTTGCAAACCATTGACGTGAAGCTTGTTTCAAGCCATAAAGAGAACGGCGAAGGCGGCACACTCGTTTGTCTGCTGCTGCCAAATAACTAGGTGGAGGCTCCATATACACTTCTTCGTGCAAATCACCATGAATAAAAGCATTCTAGACATCCAATTGATGAAGCTTCCAATTTTTAACAACTGCAACAGCTAACAAAGTACGGACAGTAGTGAGTTTAACAACAGGAGCAAAAGTTTCATGGTAATCTAAGCCTTCAACTTGAGTGTAGCCCTTAGCAACAAGGTGTGCTTTATGCCGTTCGATCGATCCATCAGATTTGTATTTTATTTTGTATATCCACTTACACCCAATGGCTTTCTTATCTGGTGGTAGAAATTCAACAGTCCAAGTATTATTCTGCTCAAGAGCTTCCAATTCTTTATTCATAGCCTCCTTCCATTGGTCCACTAACACTGCTTGTTTATAAGATGTGGGTTCCTTATTTAGAGTTATTGCAGACAAAAAACAAGCATGAGTAGTAGAAAATTTTGAGTAGGAAATATAATTAGATAAGGGGTAAAGAGGATCAGTACCTGAGCAAGCTAAATTGGAAGAGCCTAAAGAAGTGCCTTTATTATTTTTTGAAAAAGTAAGTTCATAATCTTTATAACGAGCTGGTTGAATTTTAGTGTGTTGGGGCCTTCTTGAAACATTAGGTGCAATTGATTGGATAGGTGGTACAGGTGGTGTAATTGATGGGATATTGGGTACAAGTGGAGGATCATTTGGAACTAATGGAGCATGTGTTTGGTCTTGTGATTGTGGAGAAGACACGACATTATTTTGGGTAGGCATAGGATATGAGTCATCAATTGGCAATGGCAAAGGCACTTTTGGCTGTGAGGGAATTTTTTCTTTATATGGAAAAACAGGTGTAATGATGGAGAATATTGGGTAACACGTGGAGCGATCATTTGGAAGCTGAAGTGGGAGGCAAAGGTTTGGTGCTGGTTGATTGTGGAGAAGAACACGACAATTATTTTGGGTAGGCATAGGATAGAAGACACGACATTATTTTGGGTAGGCATAGGATATGAGTCATCAATTGGCAATGGCAAAGGCACTTTTGGCTGTGAGGGAATTTTTTCTTTATATGGAAAAAATTTCTCATAAAAAATGACATCATGGGACACAAAGATTTTGTGTTTCAAGATTATAAAGCTTATAACCCATTATGGATAACCAAGAAAGATACAAGGTATAGCTCTATCAGAAAATTTATCATGAGACCGTGGGACAACTAAAGCATAGCATAAACAACCAAAAACACGCATATGAGCATATGAAGGTTTTGAAGAGAATAACGACTCATACGGGCTTTTTCCAAATAAAAGTGGTGTTGGTGTATAATTTATTAAGTAAGCAGCAGTCAAGACACACTCTCCCCAAAACTTAATGGGTAGACCAGCTTGAAATCTTAGGGCTCTAGCAACTTTAAGTAAATGCCTGTGTTTACGTTCTACTACACCATTTTGCTGGGGTGTAGAAACACAAGAAAATTGATTAAGAATTCCCTCTTGTTGACAACTTTGCTGAAGAGAAATATTTGTAAAGAAGAGAGAAATATTTGTAAAATTCTATTGCCATTGTCACGTACGAATTGTTTTCACCCAAGACGATGAATTTGTCTTATGTTACCATAGAAGAAAAGAAATTAAAATGATTGAATTGTCTATGTACCATAGAAAGAAAAGAAATTAAAATATGGGAAACTTCAGTTTTAGATTTAAGCAAATATACCCATGTAACTCTCATAAAGTCATCAACAATGGTAAAAAAATAATGACATTTGGACAAAGAAGGTGATTGATAGGGACCCCATATAGATCACAATGAACCAAGTCAAATGCTTCTTTAGCTTTAATAGAACTGACAGGAAATGGTTGTAGAGTTTGTTTAGCTCAATGACAAGCATCACAACAATAATCAAATTATTAAAGTTGTAAAATGGAAATTCTAAAATACGAGATAAGCGATTAAAAGAAACATGACCAAGACGTTGATGCCACAAAAGAATGTGGTCTTTATTTGATGAGGCAAGGGCTGAAACATGAGCTGAATCTTGTAAATAATAAAGACCATTCCTTAATTTACCCATTCCAATCAGCTTCCTCGTGGTTAGGTCCTGCATTACACAAAAAGAAGGGGAAAAATAAGCACCACAATTTGACTCTTTGGCTAATTGGCTAATAGAAAGAAGATTGTAAGCAAAATTTGGTATGTGCAAAACATTATGTAAGGTTACAGAAGGATTAAGAGCCACATTTCCATAAGTTTCAATAGTGACACATGAACCATCAAGAATAGTGATATTAGAACAGAAGTGTAGCTTCTTTTCATTAATCAAAAAATTTCTTCGACAAGTCATATGATTAGATGCACCAGAGTCCAATATCCAATCATCCTTATCTGCACTAGAGAACACAGCCTTACCAGCAAAATTGGCTACAGGATCTACACTTTTTGAACCATCAAGTTTTAAAAAGGATATGAGCTAATCACATTGTTCCTTGGTGAGGCCACTAATTTGTGAAGCAGCATTATGATCGTCCAAGATTCGGCCGCAATTAGCCGAGTTGCCTTTTGTCTTTCTATTCTTGTCCCACCAATTTGGGTATCCGTGTATCTCGAAACAAGTCTCTTTAGTATGTCTCCACTGTTTACAATGATCACAAAATAATTCTCCACTGTTTACAATGATCACAAAATAATTTAGAGATGTCACGTTTACCTGCCCATGATCGAGTGTTAGGTGATTTGTTGTTTCCTTTGGAAATTAAAAATGCCGCCCCCTCCAAAGAGTTATTCCCTTTGCTCTTAGCAAGTTGTTGTTGCCGTTCTTCATGTGTAACTAATCCATACACACGTGCTATTGTAGGTAATGGATCAGTATTCAATATCTGAGACCGAACAACTTTGAAATTGTCATTCAGTCCCATAAGAAATTGGTATACCTTTTCTTTTTCTTTCTCTGCTACATATTCCTTAGATGCACCACAAGTACATTTTGGCAATGAAGAATATGACCCATACTCATCCCACAGTCCTTTCAAAATGGTGTAGTAGTTAACCACCGTTTTCTCTCCTTGTTGCGTATTCACAATCTCCATCTTCAGTTGGTGAACACGAGCAGCATTTCCTTATGAAAAACGTTCTACCAAATCATCCCAGAGTTCCTTTGCTGTGTTAAAATAAGCCACACTATCATGGAGAGTAGGATTAATTGAATTAAAAATCCAAGAGATCACCATAGAATTTCCTTTAATCGATGCACTTTCATTTGTTGAGTTGGTTGCTAGACGTGGAAGACTATCATCCACAAAGCTGGATTTGTCTTTTGCTAACAAGGCATTTATCATGGCCCTTCTCCATGTTCCATAGTTATTTTCTTTGAGCAAACACGTGACCAAAGAAACTCCAGGATTATCATTTTGTTGCAGCGTATATAAAGGTTCTGCAGCAGCATTAGTGTTGACAGAGGGATATAAAGGTTCTGCAGCAGCATTAGTGTTGACAGAGGGATTTGCCATTTTGGTATTTTAGGTTTAAAAAACCTGCTCTGATACCATGCTAAAATTTGATAAAGAAAATAGAAGAGAAGAAAGTTAATTGTTTCTGTCATGTTTACAATGAGAGCAGCTCATGCTATTTATAGATACAGCAGTAACAAAATACAACTTAGAAAATCCCTAGGATCATGTAAAGATAAAAGCAAATCACAAATTCAAAGTACAGATATATTCAAAACAAAACAAATATTAGTTGGGATATATCTGAAAACATATCTCACGTGCTATTACAAGTGTACCCAGTTCTATTGGACGAATGAACAGTATATAGGAAGTAGAATGTAATTTTTGAATTATTTTGTCCATATTGATAGAAGGTATAATAAGCCAACTGTATAGATAAGGCTTTGTAGTTGCATTCTGTTATAATTTGATATGTATTTAGCTGTGCTTTCATTTATCTCTTGTAATGGAATTATAGAGAGATAGTTGTGTGTAAATATTAAACATAATGGAACAGTAAAGTATCTTTCTGCTTCCTATCTTTGTGCCACACTTTTATGGTATCAGAGCCAAAAACCTATTAGGTTTTTATTTTCGATCTCCACTTATTTTTCTCTTCAATGGCTTCCCCTTCAAACTTGCCAAATATTGTTCATTCTATTGTTCATTTTCCTCTGAAGAACACTTGTGTCCTTTAATTTCAACTCAATTTCCTCTTGAAATTGACTCAGGCAAAAATTTACCCTACCTGGTGTTGCTTAAGTCATGCCTGTTTTTCAAGGTTATAATCTGATGGATATGTTGAATGGTTCTTTCCCTGTCCTGCTCGAATCATACGTTCAAGGTGAAAAGATGAAGGTTAATACTGATCATGATTTTTGGGTCTGTCAAGATCAATTAAATCTTGGTTGCGATTATTGCCATCAACAAGCTTTTACAGCAATGCATCTTGTAGCTTTACAGCAATGCATCTTGTATCCTCTGCTTCCACATCTGCTGATGCGTGGGAGAAAATTCGAGTCTCTTGTGCAAACCGTAATGCAACACGGATATTATCCCTTCGTGATACACTTTCTACTTTCAAAAGAGAGTCAAGACCTGTGGCTGAGTATTTACAGACTGTAAAGACCATCTCTGAAGATCTTTCTTTGTCTGGAAGTCCAGTTTCTGATATTGATCTGGTCATACATGTATTGAATGGAGTTGGACCAGAATTCTGTGATATTTCAGCAACGGTAAGAGCTCGTGATTCTGTTATCTCTTTCGTAGAGTTACAGGATAAGTTAATGGCTCATGAACTTTATTTGAAGAAAATTGATTCTTCATATGTTACAACGCCAATCACTGCAAATAATGTTAGGCGAGGGCCATACTCTAGACAGAAGGTTCAAACATCACAGGGCTTTTCAAATGACAGCTTTGCTACTTCAGGTGGTTCTCAGTTCTTGACTGAGATAAATTCACGGTCTACAAAGGGAGCTGGTAATTCAAAAATATTGTGTCAAATTTGTGAACGGCCTGGTCACATTGCCAAACAATGCTTTCGAGCAAAAGATTTTTTCAAGGATCATTTTCCACAACCAAAGGCAAACAATGTTGTTGCCAATGATAGACAAAGCTACAATGTTGTTGCCAATGATAGACAAAGCTAGGTCATGGATACAGGAGCTACGCATCATGTCACTAATGATTTGCAAAATCTCTCACTTCATGCTCCCTACGAAGGCCTTGATGAACTTCATTTAATAGATGGTACAGGTTTGAGAATTACACATGTTGGGTCTAAATCATTATCTTTTCCTTCGGAAACTTGTTCCTTAACTGAAGTTCTATGTGTTCCTCATTCAAAAGAGAATTTAATTTTTGTCTCTGCTTTTTGTCTAGCCAATAATGTTTCAATTGAATTCTTTTTTGATTGTTTCCTTGTCAAGGATCTGTCCACGGGGGAGATAATCACAAAGGGATGCATTAAGGATTCTCTGTATCGTCTCTCATCCATTTCGAAAGGTCGATCATTGTTTCCATTTGCAACTCAGTCTTCTGTTCGTGAGTCTTCTTTTTTTTGGCATCAGCGTCTTGGTCATCCAGCTACCATAATTAGTCGTTATGTTTTGTCTCAATTTCGTTTATCTGAGTCATTTAACAGCGTTGATTGTCATTCCTGTTTATGTAATAAAAGCCACAGACTTGCCTTTAGTGTTTCATCGCTTAAAAGTTCAAAACCATTAGAATTGTTATATTCTGATTTGTGGGGACCTGCCCCTGTGCAATCCTTTGATGGATTTAAGTATTATTTGATTTTTGTCGACCATTTTTCAAAGTATATTTGGTTTTATCCTCTTAAGGCTAAATCGGATGTTGCTTCAGTGTTTCTAGCTTTCCAAAAACTTGTTGAAAATATGTTTGGTACTAAAATTATATCTATTTATACCGATGGGGGGGGGGGAGAGTATATTGCCTTAAGGAAAATGTTTCAAAACCATGGAATTTCTCATTTACAAATGCCTCCTCATACACCTCAGCATAATGGAGCTGCCTCCTCATACACCTCAGCATAATGGAGCTGCTGAGCGTCGTCATAGGCATGTAGTAGAAACTGGATTAACATTGTTGTAGTCAGCTTCTTTATCATTTGAATTTTGGACTTATTCTTTTCAGGTTGCTGTTTATCTCATAAATAGGCTGCCAACACCAGTGCTTAACATGTCTTCTCCTTTCTTTAAGCTTTTTCAACAGCACCCTAACTATACTAAGATTAGAATATTTGGCTGCCTCTGTTACCCGTATTTAAGGCCATATACTCGCAATAAATTTGAAGCTAAATCATAACCATGTATATTTTTGGGTTATTCTCTACACCAAAGTGCTTACCTATGTTATGAACCACACAGTCAGAAAGTTTATGCGTCTAGGCATGTTGTTTTTGTAGAAGGGCAATTTCCAGGTGAGCAATTAAAGAAGGAGAGTTTAGATATCCATACTTGGTATAATGTTCATGGGTCTTCTGTTGCTATTGACAATGAGAATTCTGGGTTTGTAGGTGATAAAACGGAAGGGTCAGACGGTTCTAATTTTATCCCTTTCCAAACGGCAGCGTTTCAGCCTAGGGTTTCAAATGAAACATCACTTCAAAATTCCTCTGCTTCATCGTTAAATTCCTCTTGCTTCATTCGTTCTCTAGTCCCTTCAGTGTCTATTTCCGACAAATTTGCCATTAGTCCAAACTGGCGTCTTCGTTTTCTTCCTTCTTCTATTAGTCCACAGAAATCAATCGAAAGCATCTTTACTTTCATCTTTTCCCATTGTTTTCTGATCAATCAACTCCAAATGTTTCTGAGTCTCCTTATTCGAACTCATCCTATGGTCACTAGGTCCCAGAACCAATATTTTCAAACCAAAACGTCTAAACTCTGTTACAAAGTTATCCTCTTCCTCTGTTCTTATAGAACTAACATGTTGGTATCTCAGCACTAAGTATCTCAGGCACTAAAGATTCCAGAATGGCGGCAGGCAATGTCTTCTGAGTTTGATGCTTTAATGACTAACGGGACTTGGATCCTTGTTCCTCCTTGCAGTGGTCAGAATTTAATAGGATGCAAATGGGTTTTTCGTATCAAGAAGAATCTAGATGGGTCGATTTCAAAGTACAAAGCGAGACTGGTGGCTAAAGGATATAATCAGCGTCCAGGAGTTGATTTCGATGAAACATTCAGTCCAGTTTCAAAGCCTGCCACAATTCGAATAATTTTGGCCATTGTAGTCTCAAACAATTGGAGCATTTGTCAATTGGACGTTAACAATGCGTTCCTTCATGGACCTCTGCAAGAAACGGTATTTATGAAACAACCCTCTGGCTTTGTTAATCCTGAAAAACCCACTTATGTATGCAAACTGGTGAAGGCCTTGTAAAGGCCTTGTATGGGCTTCGTCAAGCTCCACGACGTTCCTTCATGGACCTCTGCAAGAAACGGTATTTATGAAACAACCCTCTGGCTTTGTTAATCCTGAAAAACCCACTTATGTATGCAAACTGGTGAAGGCCTTGTATGGGCTTCGTCAAGCTCCACGAGCCTGGTATCAAGCTTTGAAGGAATGTGCAATTCATTTTGGTTTTGAGCAGTCAAAGAGTGATAAGTCTCTATTTGTTTTTCGAGGAGGGAAAGCTATTTGTTATTTTTTGGTTTATGTGGATGATTTGTTGTTAACTGGAAATTGCTCCAAGGTCATCTAGTTGTTTATTCAGAAATTGGCTACGCGATTCTCATTGAAGGAACCGTAGCAGTTAAGTTTGTTCTTGGGAATTGATATTCAGAAAACATCAGCTGGGTTGTTCCTTTCTCAGCACCATTATATCCTCAAGTTATTAACATAAGCAAACATGGAAGGTTCCAAGCCAATATCCACACCATTTGCAACTTCAACTATTTTGTCCAAAAATACTTCCAAATCTCGGGAGGTCAATCCATCTGAATACAAACAGGTGATAGGAGCTCTCCAATATCTAACTTGGACAAGACCGGATATTTGCTTCTATGTTAATCGTTTGTCTCAGTTCATGCAAAGTCCAACTGAACATCACTGGGATGCTCTTAAGAGGTTGCTACGTTATCTCAAAGCTACATTCGACTATGGAATATTAATAAGGCCTCAGTCTTCATTTGTATTTCATGCCTTCTCCAATGCGGATTGGGCTGGTGATTCCTCTGATAGGATCTCAACAACAAGTTACATATCATACCTTGGAACAGTTCCAATTTCGTGGACTTCTAGGAAGCAAAAAGCAGTAGCTCGATCGTCGACGGAAGCTGAATATCGAGTTGTTGCATCCGCAGCTTCAGAGGTAATTTGGACTAGTTCATTATTGTCTGAGATGGGAATTAATGTTTCACAGCCAGTGCTTTATTGTGATAATATATCAACTACGTATGCTTGTCATAATCCTGTTTATCACTCTCGGATGAAGCATATTGAGATTGATTTACATTTTGTCAGAGATCTTGTGCAAAAGAAATAGTTACGAATTGCTCATGTTTCGTCAAAAGATCAGTTAGCTGATCTTCTGACAAAACCTTTATCAAAGACTGTATTTATCAAAAACCGGTTCAAGATTGGTGTTTGTAATCGAACCCCAATCTTGCGGGGGAGTAATAAGCCAACTGTATAGATAAGGGTTAGTAGTTGCATTTTGTTATAATTTGACATGTATTTAGCTGTGCTTTCATTTATCTCTTGTAACAGAATTATAGAGAGATAGTTGTGTATAAATATTAAACATAATGGAATAGTAAAGTATCTTTCTGCTTCCTATCTTTGTGCCACACTTTTAAGGTACACATTTTTAATTATATTATCTTGCATCTTTATTACGTGTTTAAAATCGTAATAAAGTAAAACAAATGTATCCTTAGAATAAGGGTAGAGCATTTGATAGTAAATCAAACCTTATATTCATTACAACTGTATATCCAAGCTGCGAAGGAATGAAAATTTTAAATTTGAAAATGTAAAAATTCATTTATAATAATAATTATTATTCATAGAGACGGGGTTGGTACATGTGGTAGTGGTTTGAGCTATAAAGAAATCAAATCATTTACGAACAGTTTGAGTCTAAATTTGGTAAAAATTCAATTCAGTTCTCCCCGAGTTCCTGCACTAGTTGATACGATGCAACTCTTTTTTTCTTCCAATCGGTGTCTTGTAGTGGTGAAATCTTGGATCACATAACTCAAGCTTTTTAACATCGTTTTGCTGTTTTTCAACCATTTTCACTGGCCAATATAGATATAAAAAGATCCGTTGCATCATGAGAAATTCAATGGTTTTGTTTTTAATTTTTTGACTATCTTTTTTTATGGAAACCAAACCAAAATCTAAGGTTTCCGATGATTCTAAGCACCCTAGCTAAAATGGGTACCATTTCATGATCCTCGCACTTCCAAGATTCATTTGATGAGACCGATTTTGCTTTTTAGTTGAGCTGATATCTCCTGCCACCATATTGAAGAAATAAACATCATTTCAATTTTTTTTTTTATTGATCTAGGTTGCACCAAAAGAAAATGAAGAAATGTGAAAATGCAAAAATAGACATGAGGAGACGGAATCTTAAAAAATATAGTAAATCAAAACGTAGGAGAAACGTTTGAAATATAAAAAAATACGAAATATGTTTATAAATTAAAAAAAATATAACGATATACATAAAAGAGTTTAGAAAGAGTATATTTATAAAAATTAAAATGATATTAGGACTCAATTGTAAAGATTTTTTATTATTTTTAAAATTTGAACTTTTTATAAATTGTTTTTTGATAGTGTTGATTTTTATAGTGTTTTTATTGTAATTTTGATTGAAGTTTTCTATTACTTTTAATTTATTTAAATTAGTTTTTATGTAATATTGATATGTTTTTATTGTTTATGTAATTATTGATATGTTTTTTATTTTGATATGTTTTTATTCAAAAGCTTCCTTTAATCACAAATCACTCGATTGGAAAGAAAATTTTAGGATTTTGCAAAGAAAAGAACAAAAATAAAGCAAGGTACAATTGGCACGCCCCAGCCCGTGTCACGAAGCACGGCCATGTCTGGCACAAGGAGAGACAAACCAAGAGACAGAGAGATGCACGCCCCAAGCCGTGCCGAG